GATCTTGTTTCTGGATTGAGTGTAAAAGGGGTATATGAAGTTCCTTTTGTTCCTCAGCATATATATGTATAACATATCCATATCCTTTTTTTTTCTTTTTTTTAGAAGTTATCATATCAATGTGTCCGTATTGTGTCGTATAGCCTTCATTTACAACATGATAGCAAATGATTCTACTCACCATCGTCAACAGCTTGCCGAATCCAGCTCATTGATGGGAACTTTTATTAATTAATTTTATGCTTCACAAAACGATATATATATTCTCAAATGGAACCAAAGCGATTCACACACATATAGCACCAATAAAAAGTTAATGGCACATCCCAAACGTCAAGTAAAGAATTGAAGAAAGTGGAAGTCAATAAAAATTGAGTGCTCATTCAGGTGATAAGAAAGGAACCAAAAATGCAAAAGGGTTATTGCCCAAAATTGAGCAAAGATAACAAATAAAACCCAAGCCCACTTGCAAACCATCAAAATCAATAATTAATGATAATGGAAAATTCTTTCAGAAATTTACAAGAGAGCATTATTGGAAATATGCAGAAACCAAGTCTGCAGAGCCACAACCACAACAAATTTTGTTGTCAAAAAAGTAAATGTACAATAAACAACAAACAAATAATGCATAAAAATACCAAGCAGAACGATAAAAACTATCTCACCAGAAATTAATTAAAGAAATAGTATACCACTATAGTAGAAGGAATTGGTGATCGATAAAAGTACCCTTAAGCCGTGTGATTTGGGACTCAACTGAACAGGATTCACCAAAGACCATGAAAGTGCTTCATCATTACAATGTGGTTTCTGTCCTGTTTAACCTGAGATGGCAGCAAGTGCCCACAAGTTAAGCAACTACAGATCACACTAAATGAAATTTTTTCAACAATAACAATTTGGAAAAAGTAAGGCTCATGGGATCGTGATATAAGAATAAAACAAAAAAGCAGCCCAAGTAACAATCTAAAAAATAAGTTATCCAAAATATAAGTTCTATACTTATGATTCAATGACAATTATCAAAACCACATGAAATGTAATGACTAAATTTATAAAGTGATCTAGAAAGGGAGAGGGATGTGATTTCCCTGAAATTGTTTCACCTCATCTTTAATTCATGGCAAAGTGATAGTGAACTGCTGAGTCCTGGAGTTAGGTTAGGAATCAGGATGCATAAGGCTCCTGGGTCATTCTTTAGAGAAAGAAAGCATGTGATAGAAAAGAGAAGGATCACATTTTTGTAAGATTATAGTGAACCTTGCATAATTTTTTATTTTTTGTAAATCATTATCCGTTCCACTATATTTCTACATATTTTTAGAATGAGTGGTATTGTTGTAACAGGTTGCCACAACTGAGAAAAGCTAACGGATCATCACCTCCCCCAATTAACCCCATGTTTTTTCTTTTAAATAGGTAAATAGTTCAAGACGTGTGCTTAAATAGCATTTAAAACCTCTTTTTTTTTTTTTTGATAAATAAATAGCATTTAAAACATTTGAATTTTAAAAACTCAACAATTTATAATTTTTATTGTCAGAATATTCAAAATATATTAGCAAACCAAAAATCGAATAAATATCAAATTTGAATTAGATAAAAAATTCTTCATATTGTAGGATCATTTTGAAAAAATATCTGCCAAGGATGTCAACTAAAGCTGCATAACCATTTAAGAACAAGGAGAAATCCATCTCATAGATTGAATTTAAAATAGATCATCTAATTGTACTAATGTGGAGAAAACATGGCAGTCATCCAAATGCAAATGGATTTTTTCTTTCCCAATGTTTTCTCATCTTAAAAGAACATACTCTTCTAAGATAAAGAAAGGGGCCTAAAATAAAAAACAATGCAAAGTAAGTTCACCTCTCTTGGCTTTGTAAATCACGACACCAATAAGAGGGCTTAGTGTTGTCATTTACACAATATTGAAATGTAAAGGGGGTTGTTAGCTAAACAAGGTTGGTGTTTGCTCAATGAAAAGTAGAGTTATGTTCTCAAGTACTTCATGCAAGTACTGTCACCAAAGGGATTTCCATGAATATTCAAATAAGAGAATCATACAAACCTTGAGTAAAACTCACCCTTGAAAACCAACTTATAATGAAAGGGTGCCCAAGAAACTCATATTCACAAGGTCAAGACTCATTTATTCAGAAGTGGGATCATAACATTCCACCACACTTAGCAGCCAATGTCCACGGCAGTCCCACTCTATCAACATTGAGCCAGTTCACTTCCAGTGGGTTCAATTGTAACAGCTGTTTTTGGGTGACCGCTCGAGCGGTCATTTGGTCGCTCGAGCGAAAATTTGTAACTCCCAATATCTCGCAAGTTTACAGGCGAGACCGCTCAAGCAAAGTAATGGTCGCTAGAGTGTAGAATATGAGTTCCCAGTATTTTCACTGTAGTTCTGCAAAACTTATGAGACCTTGCATTTATCGCTCGAGCGATGGAAAGTTCGCTCGAGCGGTCTCTTTGTATTTTGGTACTTCGCTCAAGCGAAAGAAAGTTCACTCAAGTGGTCTTGTTCGAGCCAGTAGTCTTAAATTTTGATCTAAACACTTTTTTACTTCACTTTTTCACTCTCCTTCTCTCTCTAAACCCTATTTTCAAAAACCCTAACTCCTAAACACTAGATCTCATCTATGTTTAGTAAGAATCCATTCTTGCTTCTTCATCAAAGTTGTTCATCTCATCAAGAGTTACATTTTGGACCGATTGGATCTTGGTATCGTAGAGATTCATCATTGGGTCTTTATTCCTTCCTCCACAACTTTTGAGATAGGAATATCTTATCTTTATTTATTTATATTTTGATCTAAATAAGTGTGAATCATGTGATGAATACCACTATTGAGATAAATGAGATATATACATATATATATATATATATATATGTGGGTTTTGTGCAAAAAGGGTATTTTTGGGGGAAATTGGTGATAATTATGCCTTCAAGTATGAGGTTGGCTAAGAAGCACGGGTGCGGGTACGAGTACGGTACGGGTACGGGTACGCCGATACGGCAAAATTCCAAAAAAGTAGGGTACGGGTACGGCTGTGGTACGCCGATATTTTTTTATTTATTTTTTTATTTTTTATAATTATGGTTAAAAGATCCAAGCATAAAAAATAATATTTTTGATTATTAACTAAACTGTTTTATAAGCATAAACTGTGGTGAAAAGCTTATACATCTAATTTAACTAAACTGCTTATTACATCCTATAAGCATAAACTGTTTTCAGGAATAACTAATTTTTTTGATTATTAGCATTTTCATCTCAAATTTTTTATTATAAATAACTAATAATAATATTTATGATTTATTACCATTTATGATTATTAGCATTTTCAATATTAATAACTAAAGAAGAAACAAGAAAAAAAATAATAATAAATAAAGATGAAGTAATTTTTTATTATTAATAACTAATAATAATATTTATGATTACCATTTATGATTATTAGCATTTTCATCTCTAATATTTATTATTAATATTTATTAGCATTTTTCAGTATTAATAACTAAAGACGAAACAAGAAAAAAAATAAAAATAAATAAATATGAAGAGATATACCTCTGATGCCGTGGGTCGAAGTCGAGTCGAAGAGGAGGGTGATCTAATCTCTGCGTCGAAGTTGAAGTCGAAGCCGAGGGTCGAAGTCGATATCTGGGTCGAAGTCGAAGACGAGGGTCGAATCTCTGGGTCGAAGTCAAAGACGAGGGTGAGTGAGGGTCAAAGTCGATCTCTGTATCGAAGTCGCAGACGAGGGTGAGGGTTGAAGATGAGGGTGAGGGTCGAAGTCGATCTCTATATCGAAGTCGCAGAAGAGGGTGATGGAGATGGTCGAAGTCGCCTCTTTCTCTTTGCTTCGATGAGATTAGGGCAAAACAGTGATGAGATTAGGGCATTCGTATACGGTATATATATTTTTTCTTTTTCTTTTTTTAAATTTTTCTTAATATTGCTCCGATACCCCTCAATTTTTCAGAAAATTTGATTTCTGCCCCTGCCGTACCCAAAACGCACCAAAGGCGTACGCATTCCGTACCCGAGCCGTACCCATGCCGTACCCAACTGAGACAGAAGTACCCGACTACTTTTTGCCGTACCCGGTACGCGTGCAGCCGTACCCGGTACGCGTGCAGCCGTACCGGTACACGTACCCGCACCCGGTAAGTACCTGGTGCGTGTACGGCACTATTTTTGGAGTACCCGTGCTTCATAGGAGGTTGGGAATAAAAATAATTGAATCAAGGAAAATAAACATTAATATGGAAAATCCCTAAATTTTCATATAAACCCTAAGGGGATTGTTCATGAATTTGATGTAGTGGATAATTGATAAGTAGAATTGGAGAATCCTTGTGATTGTTAGTGTTGCATGAGAATGTACATGTTATGGAATGTGTTTGAGGTGCCCACTTGCCCGGTTCATGTGAGGACGACGAATGCAGGAATGTGTTTGAGGTGCCCACTTGCCCGGTTCACATGAGGGTGACGAATGTGGGGATGTTATGAGGTGTCTACTAGCCGGTTCGTGTGAGGATGACGAAAGTGGAAGGTTTGAGGTGTCCATTGGGCATCCGTATGAGGACGAAAAAATGTGGAGATTGGATGATGTTGTGTAATAGCTTTTAAATCAAGGAAAATTCTTGGGCATTGATGAAGGTCATGCAAATTTAAATCAAATGTTTATATGCTTGGTTAAATTTATTCTATATTGGACAATTGCTCATTTCTAGCTACTAACGTTTCAAGAAATAAAGAGCCTCAAAACCATGAATGAAGAAGAAGAAAACAACTACCTCTTTCAGAAATCTAAATTTTTTGTGAACTTGAAGTTGTAATGTAATTGGAATTGCTTTTCTACTTTTATTTTTGATTTTGAATTTTTGTATTAAATATCTCAATAGAATTGGTAAAATTGTGGAATATGGTGACATTGTATCTAAATTATGAAAACTTTTATTTTATTATGAACTCCTTTGATTTTGGATTAATGTCTCGATGTAGAAGAATTATGTAACTGTTTTGTAATTTCTCTAACTCACTAAACAGGGTTATGTATTATTGTAATTGTTTTGTAAACAAAAATTTGCGGTTCAATGAGAAAGAGAACATTTGTATGGAACTGTGTTGTGTATATGTGTAGAAAATATTCATGTTACTAGTTATGTAATGATGTTTGGTGGGATGTTACAATTTGGTATCAAAGCGAACCGGGTTGAATACTTGGAGTTTGTGGAAGTGACTTTGTCGCATTGGGTTGTCATGCTAGGATGTGAAGTTGATAGCCTTATTTGATTATGTGTCTATGTGAATAGGTGTGTATGGGGTCAATCCTCTAGGAACTGACTTGTGTTCACTCCTTTGGAAAGACATTTCATCAATGCTTTTTCCACTAGGAAATCCTTGAATGTCGTGAAATGAGTTGATATCCTGGGAGAGGGATCCGTATGTGTTTTGTTTGCTTATGTGCCTATTTGTTGAGAATGAGATTAAGACTTAAAGAGAAAGTGATGACCTAGAGTACGAAATGTGAGTTAATCTTGTCCACATCTGCTCTTATATAGAATGTCTAGACGTGGTAGGGGTCATGGCAAGCCTTGTCAAGGTAGTCGGGATATCCCGGCTCAACCCGAGATCCCTCCTCAAGAAGAGAGAGTGAGTCAAAACAGTGTGGCCGTCCACCGACCCAAGATGCTATGGGAGTGCTGGCTCGAGAGATGGCCGGAGCCCTTAGGTAGTCAATGGATATTCTTAGAGTTGAATAAGCTGCAAGAATAATTGAAGGAGAGACTAGAGTTTCA